TTTTTTAAATCTACCTTGAATTAGAGCTCAAGTAGCAACAAATGTTTTACGCTGGAACAGAAGAGTGAGGACAATCTATTTTGGAGGAAGTTAAAAGAAATTTCCATGCAATAAAGCTTCTGATCTTTTGTTCACTTTGCAGTGCAGGATTTTCTGCTGAGGCACAGACCAAGAGCCCAGATGTCCAGCTTGACATTCCAGTACAGGTCTGGATCTTACTGCAGAACAGACACAGCATGGTCTGGAGATGATGTAGCAAAAATTGCTGTGCAGTGTAAAATAACAGAGCTTTGGCCACCATCACGTACCTTCCATGGCCCTGCCAGTCTCAATTTTCCACACAAAACTGTGCCACAACTGGTCACCTGGCCACTCCTGGCCCAGCCACCTGCCCCTTGCACAGGTTGTTCCTGTTCTTGAGAGGCCCCACATGAACAAGAGCAGCTCTTCCCAGTGAATCCACACTTTTACAGCATCATCCTTTCAATATCCCTTTGAATCACCCTCTTCTGCAGAGCATCCAGAACACACAAACCACAATACCTGGTGAGGGTTGTGTACCCAGCTGCTCACAACTGATTGTCACCTCCTCTTTGCACCACTAATCCTCATTACTTGCTTTGATTCAACCTGCCTCAAAAATTTAACAGCCTCAATGGAATAAGTGCATGCATAGCTGCACATAAAATAACACTTTAAAATGTTACTATTTATGATTTTTGAGCCTAAAACCATGCTATTTCAATTTAGGAAACATCCTGAATGTTGAAAAGGTGGATGGCCACTGAATAATACAGTGATGAGACTCCCTGCAGATACAACTGCAACTTTTGCATTTTCATTTGCAACCTCACCCTAACAAAAAGCAGTGAAATCAACTGCCAGCGGCCACAGAAGCTTCAGAAGATGCCAAACGTTTCTGTTTAAAGCTAAATATAGATAAGCTATAGCAACAAGAGATCTTTGCAGTAATCATTGCTCTCCTAWTAATCTTCCTCACCAGAATCATGGCAAGGAAGGCCCTCCTTAGCTACGACAAACAGCATGTCCCAAGCAGATACCCTGAAAATGCTCACTAAAAGGAAAAGAACAAGGGCAAAGTCCTTAAAAAGAGAAATTAGAAACACACGAAGGCAAACAGCAAAGGGACTGATAGAGCTCAGCAACCCCTTCCTGATGTGGGAGGTTCAACAAATGTATCCTAAGGTGAGCTACAAACCTGGATTTTCCTTGGGGATTTCTCAATCAGTGGAGTTTTAGTTTGCTTGGTAAGAACAGGAAATCAATGTGGTACTCACAAAGAGCYGAGTGATCAATGTAAGTTCAACTGCTTGACTGAAAACCCCAGTGAGGATTTAGCTGGAGCCATTTGATACAGGYCATCCAGAATTCCAAAGACAACAGATAATCCCAGAATGATCTGGGTTGGCAGGAGCCTTTGAGACCATCCATGGGCAGGGACACCTTCCACCATCCCAGGATGGCTCCAAGCCCTGTCCAGCCTGGCCCTGGACACTTCAGGGATCCAGGGGCAGCCACAGCTTCTCTGGGCACCCCGTGCCAGGGTCTCGCCCCTCTCACAGGGAACAATTTCTCCCTAATACCCAATMTAAACCTACTCTCTGCCAGTTTAAAGCCATTCCCCTCTACCCTGTCATYCCAAGCCCTTATTCTTTGTTTTCACACTGGAGTATCTACTCCATAGACCATGGGTACCTCTCAAAGGAGGCTCGAGGAAACCCAGCTGAAATTACTTAAAATAAGGTGAAGTCAAGGGCCATTTGTTACTGTGACACATTAATAAGATACTTTGAATCAATTAARGTTTCTATATACAGTTTCCACTGTGAAATGTATTTCTATGGCTTCCATAGGAATGTGAGCCCAGGAATGATGGACTATTTAACGAAGGTAACAAACTTCWCGCCGTGTGTTTGAGCCCCTGCCAAAAGGCGTTGGTCCCATCGTGCCTAAAAGCTCTCAAATCCTCYCTGCTGTTGCATCAGACCAAAGCATTTTGGACAGAAAAATGTCACAGAATCCTAGTGGGAACTTCTCYTTGTACCAGCTTGAGGAGCACAGAAAAACACTTTCCCAACAAACCACATCTGGCTGAGCACTCACAATAAACCACCCTGAATTTTTAAGCTGTTATCCCAGCTGGGGGGATTGATAGCTGGATCCCAGCACAGGGCTGAGAGGAAACTGGCCTTTCCTAAACAGAGGGTTTATTCCTGCTGTACAAATCAACCCTTTCTCYCTCTTCCAGCTGGAAAGTGGCGGTATACTTTCCTTTATCCACAAGGCTAAGTCTCATGGAATGGCTTTATAGATCCAATCTGCACCAAGTCCTGCACCAAACTCCTTATAATTCAGTTTAATCCCAAACTGGTGCAGCAGTGCAACCAGACTGAATCATAGCTGATAATAGGATATTACATTATTTATTCCTGTGGTCATGCTGAAGAGTCACCCAGCATCTTGTGATCAGGGCTGTGCTCTGACACCCTCTGTTCCAGAGATAACCCAACCTGCAGGTCTGAGCCCAGAGCATCRGGGCTTCATGCAAATTCCTCAGTCCTAGACAAATCCACCTGCCTTCACACCCTCGGCAACACAGCCAGAAATCAGAGCTCAGAGGTGAAAAAGTCCTGTCTGTACAGGCTCTTAATAACAACACTTCCTATGACAAGTCCAGCACAGGAGAGTCAGAGCCCAGGCAACCACAGAGAAATGGCAACGGGGAGGTGAAGACAGCGAGTCTCGGTTCTGTGACCACAGCCAGAGCTGCAGCAGAGCTGGCTGCRTTTCCTTGGGAAGGACCAGGCAGGGCTTCCTTCTCCCCTGCTCCCAGAAGCCTCCTGCTCCTCTGAGGAGCTCCAGATAATGAGTTTTATAAAACTTAAKGGTTATAATTGAGTTGGTCTCTTCCATGACAACAAAACATTACAAACTGTGATAGTATCAGGTGCTAGGGCTCGAGCACAGGTGGGRGATACCAGTGAGAACAGCCCTCAGACAGGTCCTAGCCAGAGCTGTAAAGGAACTCAACTTGTGACACACTCAACACGGTCCAAAAATGAGGTGGAGAAAGTGAAGCGAGATCTTCACCTCCCAAAACAAACTGCCCTCAGCAGCAACAGCCGGACACAACGACAGCTGGACACCCCCTGTGTGCCCCAGGAGCACATCCATGCACTGCTCCTTGCCCTCAGCTCCTGCCAGCTCACAGGAAGCAAAAARGATCCAGTGTGATCCTCCTGTGTGCCCTTCCCTGACCTGCTCCATCAGAGAAACCCCACAGTGCCCTCCCAAACTCAAAGCTGGGACATCTCCCGMAGCTTCCCCAGCCACGACACCAAAACAACATCACCTCCCCATCCCACAACAGCTGCAGCTCTCTGAAATTTCACTGGCTTTTCTCCACTCAAGACTGCAGCACGAGACCAAGGAGCTGGCATTTGGGATCAGGACATTCAGGCAGAKCTGCCCCTCTGTGCCCCCGTTAGCTGGGACGGTTACAGACTGACCCCAGTGCCCACATGGGTGACAGGCTCCACACAGCCACACATCAAACCCCAACACATCAGCGTGTGGCACTTTGGAAATAAAGACCAGTCTGCAGAGAAGTTCTCTCCTAATTCCCACCACTGTCAGCAGGAGCTGTAGGARCACAGATTTCCAAGATATTTAGTGATAACCTCCAAAACCCACAACASAGAGTTTTAATTCATTTTTTTAAAGCCCACAAAACAACTCACTGTTATCCTGTGTACAAAGACCAAGAGCCTTGCTACTGTGTGGGCCAACCAGAGACCAGATACCACAGCAGATTTGTGTAAGGTCAGTGTGAAGGGATTGAGAAAAGATTTTTGGTTTTCCCATTACAAGAGAATTTGTCTAAATTCAGCCTCAATAATTGGCCTAAAGTCAGGCTGCTTTGGCTTGTAGATTTATGAAAAGAAGGGAATAGCCCTCCCTTTAGCACTTCCCTTCAGGTTTTATTCAGCTRCACAAACTCAATTCCTGTACCTGAGTGTTTAGGACACATTTTCAATGTGTAATAACATTAGTAAGGCAAGAGGTTACTTTCCTAAAGAAGCACCAGCAAACCCTCGCCAGGCTCCAGACCCAGAAGCACCACTCTGCCTCACACGTGGGGAAATCAGAGGGATGGAAATGTGAGCATCAAACTCCAAGTTTAGACCTTTGGTTTTCATGGGACAAAGTCAACACCCCTCTGACCAGTGCACGTAAAACTCTTTTGATATTATAATACATATATAGGCCAGATTATATCAGCAAATTAAAAAGACCTTGTAACACAAACTTGGGGTTTAAGGATGCACACAATAAAGGGGGTAAAAAAAAAGTAGATCTCTCTTTTTTCAGGGCAAGTCATGTCTCGATGGTGCTGCACACAAGGACAGGTAACACCTGTAAATACACACACATGCTCCCAAGAGGAGCCTCCACATCTCCTCACTAYAGGCATTAGAATGGCTTTGGAAAGAGAAACACCCCACACATATAGGATGARCCCACATTTCCAGCCATAATCCCAAACCTCCATTTTAAAGTTCTGCATCAGCCAAGAAACTACGTGCAGGGCTCCAGCCTCATCCTGCACTGTCAGGAACCAACCCAGCACCTGCCAAGGCACCTGAGCACACCCGACCCGGCTGGCSCTGGGCTCCGGAGAGCCCCAAACCCCCCGGCCAGCCGGGAAAAGGGGACGTACCTTGCTGGGCATCTTGGCCAGGCCCATCCTCACACCTGCGGTCCAGGTGGGCAGCCGGCAGCACGGGGACGGCCTCCGGATCCTTCCAGCCTCCGCCGACGCCGGGCGGGATGCAAGTTTCTTATTTATTCACTCGAGGAGGTGGGAAAATCCAAGAGCTGGGGAGAGAAAGGGCTGTCACAGGGGGGCCTTGCCGCCCCCTCCCACCGTTACCTCCATCCCGCTCCGGGCCGGCCGGCGGGGCCGGGCCCGCCAGCGCTCGCAGCCCGGCCCTGAGGCGAGGGGAGCCGGGGGCTGCCCCCCATCCCCGATCCTTCTCGAAGCCCCCCGGGCCCGGCCTCGCTTCCCGGGGCTAAAATGGAGGCGCGGGGCGGACGGGGGGGGTCCCCGCTCCGCACGGAGCCGGCCAGGCCCGGCCCCCCGGAGCAGCGCGGCGGGGCGGAGCTCTCCCGGCGCCCCGGGCCCGGGGCCCACCCCGACCCTGCCCTCGACCCCCAACTCCCGAGCGGGAGGAGCCGCCCCCCCCCTCGCCCCAGCCCCGCCGCGGCCCGGCCC